AGGGACTATAGGTGGTGAAACCACCAAACTCGAGGGACCTTGACGGGTATTTACTCTCTCTATATATATATATATATATATATATATATATATATATATATATATATATATATATATATATATATATATATATATATATATATATATATATAGGGTTGAGTTCAAATGAGGACAGTAATATATAGAGGACTGTGAGGACAAATAATGGGCACACAACAAATTAATACCAGGCACACAACTTAATACATAATGGCACACAAGAATAAATGTAAACATCAGGTTTCGAACTCAGGCTCTATAAATTAACAAATCTAGCACGCGACATACAAACTGTGGCACACGACTACATTCGGTGATTCACACGACATACCGGCTAATGGCACACACTACATCTGTCCTCACAATCCTCTATAATATACTTGTCCTCATTTGAATACACACACACACATATATATATATATATATATATATATACATATATATCTATATGTATATATATATATATATATGTATATATATATATATATATATATATATATATATATATATATATACATATATATATATATATATATATGTATATATAGATATATATATATGTATATATGTATATATATATATATATATATATATATATATATGTATATATATATATATACATATATATATATATATATATATATATACATATATATATATATATATATATGTATATATAGAAGAGCACTCATATGCGGCGGGGTCTTACCGTGCGACGGTGCGGCGAAATTTCAGAATACACCAACAGTGTTAACAATATGCACCAACAGTGTAATAAAAACACACCACAATGAAATGCAATAAAACATCACAAAATACACAACAGACTCAAAAAAATACACCATATAACTGATGCAGGGCTCTGTTTACTCTGTTTTGGGTGGTGTATTTTCCTAACGTTGATGGTGCATATTTGTTGAACTATTGGTGATGTCGCACCATAAGAGATCGCCGCACCGTAAGACACCGCCGACCTAAACCTGCCTATATATATACTATACATATATATATATATATATATATATATATATATATATATATATATATATATATATATATATATATATATATATATATAATAAGAACCAGTCTCAGCTTTATCTGCAAAAATCGGACGTAATTATAACCAACTTTACTATGCAAACTTGAACACTAAAATATGCAATTTTCATACTTTTCCACACATTTAATATTAATATTTTGCACATTTAGTATTAATATTTTGCATATTTAATATTAAATGATTGCACTTGAAAAAATGCGAAAGTATATTTCACTTAGGGTTACAATTTTAGAGTTTATGACTAAATCTTAGTTTTATTTGGTTTAGTGGAGCACTTTTTAACTGCTTAGGGTTTAGCATTTATGGTTTGGATTTAAAATTTAACTTTTTCATTGATTTTATAAAATTTACAAGGTTTGAATATTTAGTTGTTAAAGATTGCATATTTAAGTGCTCAAGTTTGCATAGTGAAGTTGATGATAATTACGAAAATGCTACCATTTTAAAATATTATCAAAATCGTCGAATTTTTACAAATGTAAAGCTGAAATTTGTTCTTAGTTTTCTCCTGGGGTGTGTTCTCATGGAATCCAAAGCGCGTACGCGCGCACACACACACACACACACACACACACACACACACACACACATATAGGCTTGCATTCAAATGCAAACCCCCTTAAAATACAAATGTGTGGACATACTCTAGCCACAAGATGTGATTGGATCAATGGACTAGATGAAGGCTGATTACTCTCACACGGATTCACAATTAACGTAGAGAAGGGTAATATAGGGAATGCATGCACACTCTATAAACGGAAGAATAGTGATTAGAAAAGGAATAGAATAGATTGGTATGATATGCTACAAATAAGGAAGTTTAAATTGGGTAGGATTTGAAGACATCCCATTACTGCCAACGGAAACCTCCATACGAACGAGAAAAACTTCGACCGTGCAACCATGGACAACCGAAGAGGTCGCATTCAATACAACGCCATACCGGACTCCATGGACGCTCCAAACCCAGGTAAGTACAACGCGTATATCGTTTGTAGTTTGAGTGGTAAAGCACGGTTTGTGTTTTTAATTAATTTACGAGTAAAACTAAAAGCATATTTGAATAGGGTCATACTCATGATTGAAGTTTTTTTGCAAACTCTGTTTACAAATCTACAAAATTAGAAATTATGGAATACGTTTAACGTTTGAGACGTGGGTGTGACGTTCAGGTCTTAAGAGTGCACACGATTAAAGTCTCACATGCACACACAAGCGTGGTGATGAATGGAGTGTTAACACTGATAGTCTCAAAGGCGATGCTTGAATATTAATTTTTGGGTGTTAGAATAAATGAAAGTCTGCATGTTGACGCAATCGTATGGTAGGCAGTTGAATTTTGTGAATTGAAATCTGGGGAAAAAAATATGGAGAGAGTGTGATGTGGTGAGTTTTGCATGAACATATATGTTCTAAGCGTGCACATAGAAACAGGCTAGTATGCACACAGGAGGCCATAGTTTGAACACATGTGCTTTCGCAGATTTGTTTGTTATATTGTACGTAATATTAAAAGTGCTACCATTGGCGAATAATTGTACTATTATTTGCACAAAATTCCCATTTCTGATGTATAGGAGCACAACATAGTGAAGAGGAAGCAACAGAGTGAAACATGGTCGTATTACCCGATGGAACGAAACAGTGGTTACCTAACTGCAAAAGCCAAACCACCACGTACGTTGGGCAAGAATTTGCATCACTATAAAACGGAGTAGACTTCTACCGGGCATACTCAACCATCGCCAGATTCGATATCAGACTCGGCACGAAGCGAAGGAATAGGGAAGGGCAGTTCACATAAAATACATTTTATGTTCATGGGAAGGATACAAGCCAAAAAAAAAAAAAAAAAAAAAAAAAAAAAAAAAAAAGTGGGTACTAGCGTGGTCACGAACAAAGGAAACAACCCCGAACCGAAAAAAAAAAAAAAAGGAAATGGTTGGAATAAAATCCATGCACTTGAGCTATGGCACACACACTGCCTATGCTCTGACATTGGGAGGCCATTTCTTAAAACAAATAGGAAGTTAGATATTGGACACAAAATATTCGTGGCAAACTGCGCAAGGGCAAACATTGGTTCCACAAAATCATGGAGGCTATACAAGGAAATGGTTGGAAGTTTTTCAGATATCGGAGCAACATCCACCGATTTCTGCAATTTTAGGAGGGACTTGTTGGCTTATATTGCTGGAGCAGATGCACAGATGGTCGTAGAAGACATGTACAAAAGTAAAGAGATGGAACCAGAGTTGTACTTTGATTTTGATCTCAACGAAGACAGGTAGCTATGCAGGCTATTTTGGACAGACACGATATCCCGGTAGAATTTTGCATGTTTTGGAGATGTGATGTCATTCGACGCAACGTAGAGCACGAACATGTACATATCACACCGATTTAAATAGTTGAATTAAATTAAATTCTTTACAATACATGTTAATCTTCTCTTCTAACATGCGTGCATGGCTACGTAAAACTGTATGCGTTGTTTTTTAAATTAGATTATTTACTTATGACTGGAAATAGGAGTGGAATATCTGAGTGTCGTTTAAAAATGAGATTATTTACTTATCATTCAGATGTGTGTGCGGATATGCATATCTCTGAGTGCAGAACAACTAGTATAGTTGAAATGTATGAAATTGTTGTACAGTTCAAATGAATATTAACTTCACTCAAGCGTGCATAGCTGCAAAATACTGAACGCTTGGTATAACACATAAGGTGTTTTTAGTAAAACTAAAAATTGGAGTGTTTGAAAAATATGTTAACCTGTGACCAAATTTACATTGGGCATAGTGTGCACGCCATTAAATCCATGTGTGCATGACAGAACTAAAATGGATTGGAAAAACAATTGGTAACTGTGGTCGGTAATAAAAGTTTGTTACTGTTATATGTATCTCATAGTGTGCACACCATTAAATCCCTGTGTGCATGGTATAACTAAAATGGATTTGAAAAACAATTGGTAACTGTGGTGGGTAGATAAAAGTTTGTTACTATTATATGTATCTCTGTGTGCACCGCTATTATTACTATTATATGTGTGTGCACTAATTACGGACGAACATAATCCTTGCAGATACAAGCTTGTGTTTGTACCGTTTACAGGAGTGGACAATCATAAACGAAGCATTACATTTGGGGCAGGCCTCATTGCACGGGAAGATGTGGAGTCCTATGAGTGGTTATTAAAAAGCTTCAAAACCGTGATGGGCTATACACCAAGATGTGTTATTACAGATCAAGACCCCGCATTAAAGGTCGTAGTACCTAACATTATGCCAGAAACAAGGCACCGATTTTGTATGTGGCACATCATGGAAAAAATGGGGGACAAAGTAGGGAATACACTGGCAAAAAACATGGAGTTTAGGAAGGCACTGAACAATATAGTATGGGATGAAACTTTACGTGCAACCGAATTTGAATTGAAATGGGCAGAGGTAATGAAAGAGTACAACCTTGTTGAACATCGGTGGATTGATCAAATGTACAAGGCGCGTGAATCATGGATAACTGCATATTTCCAAGATATATTCATGGGAGGACTTCTCAAAACAACATCACGGTCAAAATCAGAGAATAGATATTTCGACAAATTCACCAATCAACACAACAGCTTGGTAGAGTTCCTAATGCAATACAACCGTGCCATAGGAGAATAGAGGCATAAACAAAAACAGTTGAACGTCGAAGGCGAAAGTTCATTCACCGAAACCAAGACCCCATTGGTCGTAGAACGTCAAGCTGCTGCAATGTACACCAAAAACATATTTTACGACTTTCAAGAAGAAATATGGGAAGGAAGTTTCACATGCAGAATCACCTGCAGGACGAATGACGATGGGGCCGGAAGTACATTGTACGCGATAAGGGTGGAAACATGTTTGAGGTAACGCATGAAAAAGCTACTCAAAAAACAGAATGCAATTGTAACAAATTCAACAGAGTAGGAATTTTATGTAAGCATGTGTTGGCCGTGTTCAAGAACGAAGGCGTGGAAGAAATACCAGGATGCTATAATGTTCCCCGTTGGACAAAGAATGCGTGTGCACAGCCAATGTACAATGTTGTGTGGAAAGCATGCAGTACTACGCAAGGTGGGATTGAATTGAGAACAATTGCCAACCAACTTTGGAGTGAATTTTACAACTACATGGGTTTGGCTAATGGATGCCCAGACAAAATGGATGCAATGCTAACAACAATGCATGAGCTTAAAGGGAGGTTACAAAGTGCCAGACAACAAACCAAAGCAAGCACCACCCCACAAACAGTGATTGAATCAATACTCAGCGCTACTGCACCTGCTGAGATCCAAATCAAGCCACCCAGTGTAGCAAAGAACAAAGGAAGTGGGAAAAGACTAAAGAGCAACAAAGAGAAAGTAAGTGAAAAAAATAAGAAAAAGGTGCGGACGTGCGCTACCTATGACCGGCTGGGCCACGACAGTCAGAATTGTCCAAACAGAAAAGACATATCAGACGAATAACCCCTCACGGTTTAAAACAATTCGATCAATTAATTCATTTGCAATTACATTTAATACTTATCAACCTTGTAAATTTACCACAGGGATGTTATTTTTTAAATTGCATTGTGCAAACTGTTTAACGTCATTGCGCACACACGATTTTTATTTCTAATCCTAGAAAGCCAATATTGAACTAGTAAACGTTGTACCCATGGTTGTTATGTAATAATTTGGGTGCAATGCACAATGTTTAACACCAGTGTGCACACACGGTAGTACAAACCTGAGGGGTAAAGGATATAATGAACTAATGCAACTGTATAATACATTGAGATTCTACCAACGGCTGAAATGTATTTTGATGTGGATGAATACTTTTTCCAGCGAATGTGCATGCACATATGCAAAACTAAGCGTATAAGAGAATATTGAACTAGTCTCTGCTATGAAGGTTTGTAATGTTACCCCACGATTAGTGATGCATGCATACAGTTTAACAGAACTACACAAACGTGTATATTTACTGTGCATAGTTGTAGAGCATGCACACATTCCAAACTCCAATATCCATGGCAATTGTGAAGAACTAATACAGTGTGGAATATTTTACCACCAACGGCCACACATGCATTTAGACTCTATAACGATCAGCTGCTAGTGAAGTAGGCAATTTTAAGAATTTTAAAGATGAGTCTGTGCACACGGAATACCACCACAGTGCATACATGTGTACATTTAGTACCATTATAATCGCAGACTAAACTAGCCACCAGTATTAAATTAAACAAGATAATATCCATGAATGAATTTCATCAAGGAGTGTCGACTTGATAAAAATGCAGGCATTAGAACGTCATCAAAAACACTAACATGAAGAGTGGTTAAAAGTATAAAACAAGAAGCCAAATTCTGAACACAACAACTATGACCTAAAACTCAATAGGCCCAAGCACACAAAAGACCACTACGGATCCCCTGAGATAGACGACACAAACTGATACGCACTGCATATATTCCGACACTTATGGAGATTGAATTCTGAGGTCGCAAGTTCCTTGATGTATCGTAACCTCAACTTCTTGAGCTGCGCAGTGTTACCTTTGCTAAGGCCACACCTCCATCTGGCCACTCCTTGTCCTAAATAACTCTCCATGTGACGCATAACATGCATGCCACAGTCAATCTTGTTCTTGCCATCATGCCAACCCATCTGCATACGCTTCAGATCCAAACACGCACACATCGAAGGCCTTCCCGAATCAATGCATTTAAAGAATTCCATAAGCATGAGAAATTGCAGCAGAATTCCATAGAGTCGAATGAATATTAAAAAACAAGACAAAGAACAAAAAGATAAACAAGTAGAAGACCAGGCAGAATATAAACCATACCAATTCATCCAAACAATCACCATATTTCAACTGCTTGCTGGATTGAAGGGTCGAATTGTCAATGATCTCATATCGAAAATTAAGAAAATCAATGCAAAGAAGAAAGTAGTGGCCCTTGTAACACCCCACTTTTCTTAAACTTAATTACAGTTCTAAAACCAAATTAAGATAAACTAAGAAGCGGAAAATCAAACTTAATTAACAAACTAGTGGGAATGTCACCGCCACAACCACCTTCCCACGGTGATTGCACAGGCTAAGGATAAAACTAAACATCAATTCGAACTAACATCCGAAATTTACTACATTAAAGTCACTTGGGGAAAAAACACCATGTTGTCTATCACCAAACATAAAAAAAACATAAGTATACAACCATCATCCATAACATCATAAGGTAAAACAAGAGTTTAGACTATTAGATCTACTAAACTAGTCTAATTCGAACAACTCTCAAACGTTGGGCCCACCTGAAAGGGGTTTTGCAAAACAACAAGTAGACAAGTAGAAAACACCCGTTAGCACGAAGCTAAGTATAACCACACTCCACCCTGTAAAGTACTACAGTATATACTTTGGAAAAACATTTGCCCACATTCTCAAATTAAACAATCTCAAACACTTAGGCAAACTTTAAGATAAACTACAAGCTTTCTATATGCTCGCAACCTATGATATCAAATAGGCATACTTCAACAATATCAACCTAACAACATGCTCATACTATCGCATACTTAACATAGCAAATCCCAATCCTGTATAACATTTCAATAACCATCTCATGCTAATACATAAACTTATCAAGCAACTTTGTGCTATCAATCAATAAGAAATTATTCTCATCCTTTCAAGTTCTCATCATGCAAACTAGAAATATCATACATCAATATGTAACTAAGGCAATCATGCTCAATCTACAATCTTGGGTAATCATTCTCAATATGCAATCTAGTGCAAACATTCTCATTATGCAATCTCGTGCAATACTATACTCAAATGCAATCTCGTGCAAACACTCTCATTATGTAATCTCGTGCAATACTATACTCAAATGCAATCTCGTGCAAACATTCTCATTATGCAATCTCGTGCAATACTATACTCAAATGCAATCTTGTGTAATAGGATAAGTATACATATAAACTCGTTTGTAAATAGAATACTTTTCTGTGGAAGTTTCTTAGAGCCACAAGGACTCGCTTGCTCTTTCTTTCTTAGAGTCGCAATGGCTCGCATTCTTAGAGTCGCAATGACTCACTTTCTTAGAGTCGTGATTACACGCTTTCTTAGAGTCGTAATGACTCGCTTTCTTTAATAATAGATGTGAGGTAGGAACTTCACCGTAGTGTGAACGAACCTATCCAGGTACGGCCTCTAGTCGACCTATGCTCAATCTCATCCATCGAACCACTCTCTTGGTTCTAAACTCATCTCTGTGGAATCAGGTATCGAACTTTTAGTGTGCACACCCCCTAACCAGGATTCCAAGCCTGGCGGGCAGTTTCCAACCTTGTAACGTGGGAATACGCCGCGTTACATATACTTGGACCACAATGTCCATTTCTTTCATCCCGAGAGGACGTAGTCCAAACGGGTCCTCCAAAACAAGGTTTTCCTCACCATAGATATATATAGATATATCACTCATGCATCTCATATATGCAACATTTAACTTATGCAAACAGAAATGCTCATACTTCTCAACTCATTCTCAAAAGACAAGATAAAGATGCTCTACATGGAAATGAGATTTTTGGAAAATAATATTTAGGCTCACGTTGGCCACTTATGCGCTTTTAAAACATGATATGCTCAAAATGGCATTTACTGTAACCATATGCTTCTACTTTTTATTCGCTGTGAAACTCAACAATTCAATAAGTCAAGCTTGTTGCAAAATAACATACTCTGTACATTTTTACCATCAAAATAGGCTTCAATTTCCATTGAACATACAACACATTCTAGCCATGCTTTTCTAACAACTTTTATATGAAGCATTTCATCACAAATTCTTTTATAACATGCTCATTTCTAATCCAAATTCAACGAAATCAAAGCCAAAACGTGCTTCAAGACGGCCCCAAGGTACCAAGCCACAAGGGCCCGTGACACCTGGTCCGAAACGACACGTAGCTGAGCTGCAAGGGCCCGGCCACTGCACAGAAAACAACTCACGGACCTTGGGGCAAGGCTCAGCTAGGCCCGCCCCCTCGAACCGTCAATTTGCCGGCTCTAGGCAATGGCCCTCTCCTAGGGCCGTTCCTTAGGCCCGGCTGGCCACGGCTCTAGCCAACGGTCCCCTTGTTGGGCAGTTGGCTGGGGCCGGTGCATCTCCTGGTGCACACTGCCTGTGCACCAGATGGTGTCTTCTCATCTGCAAAACATTTTCAGGCAATTCTAGCACACCCAAAACATCTACAACACATCATAGACAAGTAATTAATCACTTAATAGCTCAAACGCTTCAAGAATCTAGCATTTCTACTCATTTCTACCTATAAAACAATGACTTCACAGAGCCAAACTTAAGATGGGAGTCCATGGGTTTATACCTTTGTTGGTTTCACTCTTTAGCTTGGATCTCTTCTTCCTCCCAACTTAGCTAGCACCTCCTTCACCACCTAAACTCCCCAAACAAACCACACCACAAAGCTTGAGAAAGAAAACTCAGAGATTGGAAGCAAAGGAGTGGAAACTAGGAAGAAAAAGGAGGAAATGGTTGAGAATGGTGCATGAAAACTTATTGTGTTTTTCTTCTCCTACTTCGCAGACAAAGTTTTGGTGAGACAAAGAAAGATAATCAGGAATTCATCAATGAAATGGTGAAGTTTATATAGGGTGCTAAACCCTAGGTTGATGCTCAATGATTGGTGGAGGGCAAGATGGTAATTTGGTGGTTGTTCTAAAAATATCAGACAAGTGTGGAGTCTTGTGATTCACCAAGCTACATGGACTAAGGTCTAGAATCATAGTTTTAAATAGTTTGGGGATCAAAATAGATTTTTCCAAATATGATTTCTATATAAACACTTGGTTCAGGTTTCTCAGATTTCCCCCGGTCTCACTTAGATAGGTTTCTCTGTTTAAAACGTGGTACACGAAGTACCCGAAAATTTAGGATTTTGGAATTAAAATAAGTTCTGGTGTTGAATTAATTTAAAATGAAACTCAAAATAATTTATTCAAACACCAAATTTATCTCAAAATTTTTTTAATGGAGTGAAAATGGCTATTTTGGAATTTCTCAAAACTGAATTTATAAAATAAAATTTTGGGTTGTCACAGCCCTGGCGTAGGATGGGGAACATAAACTGCAGACAGCAACGGTGAACGAGTGAAAAAACACAATGATTACAAGCAAAGAAGACTAACATAGGGTGCACAAAAGACTAGCATAGGGTGCACAGAAGTAACACAACTGTGTGATTGGAAGAGTAAATGCACATCGCCATCAAAAGCACCATCCGGCCATTGCTTCACCAACTCTGAAATCTCTCTCGCTATCTTCGTTGTTTTTTGAATTACAACATCACCAAATGTCTAACCCAACAAAAAGACGATGACAAAAATGAATAAGTGCGGAGGACACGTTGAATATTAGGTGCACCCGCAGCACAAGATGTG